GTAACAAAACACCGCATCCGACCCCTCCCTCACATTAAGAACTAAAAGGCGAGAGACGTGGAAACGAATTCTGAGTAAAGTTGGTCGGACTGCAAGAAACCTACGCCCCAGCGGCTACGGCGCCCTTGCTCACCAACATGATCAGAACTCTTTCGCCTGCGCCTTAAGCTCTATAATCTTGACAACGAAAAAAGGGGTCGGAACATAGCAACCATTTTTAAACATGCATAAAAAATAAAGTAATAAAACCACGTCCGACCTTAACAAAAGGATTAAGACTTGTTCAATTATTACAAAATCCACCACTCATCCTAATTTGACTAACTACTACTTTGGGGCGATGATGTTGTCCTCGATTGCTGCAAAGAGGTCCTGCGCCAGGGGTGCCATGTCCGTCTTAGGGGCTTTGAGCTCGGCGTCGGAGTACCCAGGCGCGTAGCCTTGGCTCATCGCTTGTAGATCGATGTTCCCATAATGGGAACGAGCGATTACAAACGACTGGCGAACGTCGAAGCGAAGTGCCTCCCTCGACATGGCACGAGCCCGTTCCATGATCCCGACGGCACGAACCATGAGCGAGCTCGTCTCCTATGCCGGGGTCAGCTCTAGGTCCTCGTAGACCAGCTGTACGACGGTGCGTAGAGTCTCATGCTCATCGTGCTCATTCTGGAGGGTGACCTTCAGCTCGCTGAGCTCCCGCCTGAGGCTGCGGCTCTTCTCAACCTTCATCTCGAGCCAGCCGTTGAGACCTACCCAAGACACACGCCCCATGTCAAAAAGAGAGCCTACCATAGATTCTAGAAAAAACAACGAAGGAAGAATAAAGAATTACCGTCCATGTCCGCCCGGAGCTGGCGCGCCTCGGCCTCTAGGTTCTGGATCCGCTCCTGACGCTGGGTAGCCTCCACAGCGAGATTGGCCATCACCGCCTCCGCCGCCTCCTTCAGATCTTTTCTGCTCGGAGCTCATCCTACAAGGAGGCGACCCGCTGTTGGGCGCTGGCACGCTCTGTGCAGAGCCCCATCCGTGGCTTAGAGCAGCTCTGCCCGTTCCTTCCGCAGCCGTTCGGTCTCCTCGGTGTCCATTTGCGCCCTATTGAGAACGGCCATCAGCTTCTCCCTAGCTTCAGTGGCGTCATCGCAAGCATTCGCGTACCAGATCTAGAGATCGGCCAACTCCTGGCAAATAGGAGCGAGCTCAGCTACCTCTTGACGGGCGGCAGCGAGCTGCGCCTCTAGCTCCTTATGCAGCTGCTCCTCATCGGCGAGGCGATCCCAGACACCCCTCTTGCGTCGGAGGAATTCTGACTTCTCTTGGCTGCGGTCTAGTAGGAGCTGCAAAAAGGATACGGGTTGGGAAACATGGAAAGGAAAACAGAGGTCAGAAGCATCATGTCATACCTGGCCGACGGGGGAGACGACATCGTGCATAGACACCAGCGTGGTCATCAGGGCACTGATCACGACCCCCACCTCCGCCTGGTAGCCGCTCACCTCCCTCTTCTCCATAGCATCGTCAAGGAAGAAGAGTGTCGCCCCGGGGTTCCGCGGGTCGGGCCACTGGAGCCTGCCGTCGTCCGCACGAACCAGCGACAAGGACATCTCGGCACCGACCCCAAATGATGTCTCGGGAGCCACCTCCCCCGGTTGTCCCATCGCGGGCGCGTCCGTTGGCGTGGCCGACGACTCTAGCCGCGTCGCCTCCACCTGCGGCGTCATGGTCGCCTCAGCATGTGCCACATCCTCCAGCGGCGCCTCGGCCGCCTCTAGCAGCACTGCCCGCGCTACTTCCTCCTGCGGCGCCTCGACCGCCTCCGGCAGCACCGTCCCCGCCTGTGGCATCTCAAACGCCATTCGCCACGCCTTTCGCTCGCCTTGGCGCCACCAAGACTTTACCACGGGCGTCCCGGCGCGACCATTGATCGCGCCTCCCGCCAAATTTCAGCATGGCACGAGCCGGGTCCAAGCGTGCCTGCTTGGCGAGCGCCTTCTTCGGCGCCAACACCAGGTGGCCTCCGCGCTCCCCGACGCTGCAGCAAGCACGAAGGTTAGTTCGTAGCAAAGAGCTCGTTAAAGAGGGAAACGGGAATAGCATGTAAGCTTACACCGATGACACCGAGCGTCGACGTTTTTGGGTCGGTTCGCCCGATCACACTGCGACACCTCATCATTCCGTCGCTTCGAGCCCTCCCCCTGGTCAGAGGTCTTAGACGAGGAGGAGCCACCGGTTCCCGCTGACACTGGGCGTGCCGAAGAAGGGTCAGACGGGACGGGGCAACTCGCCCCAATAGGGCGGAGCCGCCAGCCCCTACCAACCTCGAAAGCGCTGTAGGGGGTCGGGCGGGACGGAGCGGCCTGCCTCCGTCAGCTCTAGATGCACGTCCCCCCCCTGCTCTAGGCGGTGGAACGCGAAGGGCCCCTCCTACGACGGGGGCTCAACCTCATCCGCATGGGAGAAGTCCTCCCACGATATCTCCTCCTCCTCATCATCCTCATCCTCGTTGTCCTCGTCCTCTGACGATGAGCCTTGCTGCCGCCTCCCACACTGTAGCTTCGCCTGGTCCTTCTCCCTCCTCTTCTTCTCCTTGTCATCCTTTGCCTTCTTCCTCTTCTCGTCGGTAGCACGGTTCGCCGCCCTCACCGCCGCATGTTCCAGCAGCGGCGCGATGGAGGACCAGATGCTCACGTCTGTCGATAGCTCGATGGTGTCCCGCACCGGCCACATCGCAGGGTGCCCCGGGATCGGGAACATAACTGACTCATTCGTCGCCTCCTTGACACGCTGCGCGACCTTGCTGTGGACAAGCGGCTCTATGGCGAGCATCGTTCCACGTAAGTCCATGCCAGGGACCATTGCGTGCAGCGAGAGGGTGCGCGCCATCAGCGGGACCACCCTCCGCACATGGTACGCGCCGATGACGCCGGCCCCGCGAAGACCGCGGCTCCTCAGGAACGCGATGGCTTGGAGGAGAGCGGGCATCCTCTTCTTCAACTTGTGGGCGGCCCCTAAATCCATGGCTCAGGCGCCTCCTCGATCACGCACCCGGAGAAGATTGGCAAGGGGGTGGCGGGATTGTTCTTCAGATAAAACCATTACGAGTGCCAACCCTTGTTGGATTTGGTGAGTTGGCACGGCATGTACCCGGCCGACCACGAGCTCCGAAGATGGATGCTTGCACACCCGATCAGCACCGGGGTCTCCCTACTCCTGTCTCTCCTTTTTGTTTTGTAGGGAGATGGAGAAGAAGTATCTCCAGAGCTCGAAGTGGGGCTCGATCCCCAGGTACCCCTTGCACATCGCGATGAAGGCCGCGATATGCTGGATGTTGTTGGGGTTGAGGTGCTGCAGCTCGATCCCGTAGTAGTGTCGCAGCCCTCGAAAGAACGAGTGTGGGGGCATCGCAAGCCCGCACTCGTGGAAGTGCGCGATGGAGACGACGTAGCCATCCGGTGGCGTTGGCAGCTCCTCGTGCTCGGGCACGATCCACTCCATCATGTCAGTCCATGGACGGAGAAGACCGCGCTTCACGAGGCCCTCCATGTGCGCGTGGGTGATGGTGGAACGGAACCACGACCCCATGGGTGATGATTGAGGGATTGCGGAGGAGGAGCGGAGCAAGCGGATCTAGGGCGCCGGCGGTGGAGGAGCAGAGGAAGCAGACCCAAGCGACGGTGGCTGGGAGAGGAGAGGGCAAGATTGCTTTTCTAGCGTACCGAAACAAGGAGGAGGCCGATATATATTTAAGCCAGGATAAAGATCGAAGGCGAACCGTCCGCATGGATATGCGCGCCCGCTGCGCCGCGTCACATCACCTCCCCTCCCGCGCACACGATATCTCCGCCTACTCCCTCGAATCGCGCGCTGCACAACGGATCTGCCCGATGGAAACGCTGAGATCCGCTGCAGGTAAGAAGGGATACAGGGCTTAAACACGCTCCCATGGCCCACTTATGGCCCACGAGTTCGAAGGTCAGCCCACCGACGGGTTTACGACCGCTCTAGGGTGCCCTCAGAGCAAGGGGTGGAAAGGGATGGGCCCGCTAGCGGCCGAAACCCGAGCGCACAAGCGCTGAGGGCATCCTGGCCCACGTTCAAGTCCTGGTCAGAGTTCAATCCGTGGTTTTTCCTCAAAGAAAGGCAGCGAGCCCTTGGGACCGGTCGAACGAACCCAAGAACTATATGCCGCAGGAATCTAGAATTGGTCACCAGCTGGCCCACGTCGGGCCCCCATGAACGGGACGCCAGAGCTCCACTTGAACCGACCCGTCAGCAGCTCACCGAGCACCACGACTCGTCCACCGAGGAAAGCATGGCACGGCTCAACCCCTCTGTTTTGTTGAAAAAAAATGCTTGAGGAGAACGACCACAAAGACGAACCGACCCCTTGACCGCCCCCTCGCTACACTCGGGGCTCAAGGGCTTGGAATCGCAAAGAGACCCATCAGTGTCGTCGATATCGACGCAGGGATCGGCCATTGCAACCTCACCGAAGCATCCCCTGAGTCACAGAGGACAAGCAAGAACTGTGGCGCTCCCCCACGCAAAAAAAAACTACGAAGGAATATCTAACTCCTCCACAGGCTCGGGGGCTACACCCATCGGGTGCGCTCGCGCACACCCTCAGGCAATCAAAGGATCCCCCAACCGATCCCTCTCGGATCGCTCGGGGGCTACTATCGGGTATCAATATTTGGGATACCCGGACAAGAGGAGTTAACGGACAAGATATGAAGGTCGAATGAGACTGATTAGTGTTAATGGATTTGCAGTGGCTACATAAAAGATTATAGGCAGAAGCTTATCTAAATCACTTTGTATTCTTAGTGATGATTTGGTTTTTATCAACACCAGCTCTCTTGCATTTTTCTTTTTTGGTTGACCAGTTTTCAGTTCTCAGCCTGCAGAAGATGCATGAAACACTCAGATGTTTTTTTGTCCCTTTGTACAAAAAGTCTGATTGATCATAAGTAAACACATGCCATTTTTGTAAGTCCAAACTTTTACTGGGGGACAGGGGAGGGGGGCTGCAGTGTAGCTTCATTTTCTAAAGCTGCAGCGAGTTCTTTCATTTTACCTTCCAATTGATCATCACTATCTTTTGTCTGCAAAGGTATTGTATAAAGTACTGAAGGAAGCATCAAAGAAATGATCCATAAAGGCTGAATATCAATCATTTATGATTAGAATTAATGAGAGCGCCAGAATATTTGGTGATGCAAATATCTGTAAAACATTCAGCTCGGTCTGTCTTAATTTACGGAGTTCACAATGAAGATACTTAGTTTATGCAAGAAAAGCTAAATTGATAAGGAAGCATGGAAAAATGGACGTAAGTCACATATAAATCTAAGTGTAGCAAATGCAATGTGTATTCTTCTCGTTTTTTTCCTTCTTTTTTTTTTGGCAATCATATAGCAGTAGATTATTTGAGGATAAGTGAATGGCATAAAGAAATTGAAGACAAAATCAGGTTGTCTATATGTAAACTGAAAACTGACCTTTCTGTCAACTTCGCTTTCTAGCAACAGCCTCTTGAGAACAATGGACTGCATGTTAGTCACTGTGTCTTTTATCTGCCAAGAAGACATATTGCCTGTGATAACAGTTTGTAGTATGGTATGTGGAATGTGAATTATAAAGTGCACAGAGAAGACAGCTTAGTTTTTTTTCAAGCAATGTTGTAGTCGATTTTGATTCAGATGAAAAAACTGAGCCGCTCTAAGATGGAATTCAGAAGCATGATATATCCATCAATGAACTGCAATCAGAAGTCATATAGATACAAAGCCTTGTACGACAAAAGTGAGTGCCATAGATACAGCCACAACAGTCAGCATTAGAAATGCCCTGAATATTTTCCATCCTCAGGCTTTCCTGGTTTTGTAGTATCTACCAAAGTCTATTTACCATATACTAGTAGTAATACAAATTGAACTGCTAGGTTAATCATATCCAAAGAGAGGTTAACAAAAATCTTCACATACTTGCGGTTAGCTCTAGAATATTGTTCCCTTGTCTACCGACCAAGGCACTACTCAAAATCCCATGAGTTCTTTGCACATACGAAGCCATTACAAACCAGTACACCATTGAAATATGCGTTTGATCTGATGGCAGAAGGCATCCCCTACTTGTGTTCATATGGATACAGAAAGAAACTAGTGCAGTTGACCAAACAAAATCAAGAATTAGAGGACTAGTACCTGGGAGCGGGAAACAAAATCCATAATCCACATGTAAGGAAACAACAATGACAATAAAGAAACTGAACAGCTAGCAAGATGATTACCTGGTACCGAAACAGCCCCCCATGGACGGGGTCCGGGCCCGGGGCGGGGACGGGGACGGCGGCTTGGCACCTGGCGCTCAGCTCTCGGTCCTCCATCTCCGGGTAGCAGCGTTCTTGGACCTCCTCGTTGGTGAGGTCGCCGAATTGGTTGAGGCCGTACACGTTTTGCCCGGCGGCGGCGGCGTTGAGCCGGACGACGACGCGGCGGTTGCCCTTGAACAACCTGTACCGGCATTCCTCCTCACCGACGTCTCTGTAGGTATTGCCGTGCTTGGCCTTCCACCCCACGAACATCCGGCGGGTCTCCTGCTCGTACGATTCCTCCCCCATCCGGACCCCGCGCCCGCGGTATATCTCCTCAATGGCGCTGGCGCTGAGACTGTTAAGGCCAGATGTGGTCACCCCAGCGGCCCTGGACCGGGCGACACGGCGGCGGCTGTCCTTGAACACCGCGTACCGGCATTCCTCTTCGCCGGCGTATCTATAGGTCTTCCTGCACCTGGCCTTCCACTCCACGAACATCCGGCGGGTCTCCTGCTCGTACGGGTCCGCGGCCCGAAGCGATACCGTCAGCATCGGCAGCGACACAAGCAGCGCCGCCGCCGCCGCTGCGAGAGCAACCGTGGGGCCCCGCCCCATCGTGTCGCCGCCAACGACGACGACGGGGGTGGGCTGCGACATCAGCAGCATCGGCAGCGACACCGCCGCCGCCGCCGCGAGAGCAACCGTGGAGCCCCGCCCCATCCTGTCGCCGGCAACGACGACGACGAGGGTGGGTGGGCTGCGGGCCTCGAGACTAAACGGGCCGGGCCTCAGACAGTAAACCGGCTGGGCTTTGCGCTTTGGTGCACCGGAAATTGTCCATTGCAAAAAGGCGGGGAAAATCTATTGTGGAAGGTTGCAAAGTCATTGGATAATATAATTTAGTTTTGAAAGTTGATTTGCTAAAAAAATAGTTTTGAAACTTGAAATTTTTTCCTCTTGTTAGTATGGACATGGTTATATATGTTACTAGATAAATGTCCGTGCGTTGCACCGGGTACCAAATTTTTACTCATATACTTACGGCGATGCACGTGGCTTGTGGCTTCGACAAATATATTAAGCAATCTACAAATCTAATTACATAGATAATACAAAGCATGTGTCGTAGATAATACAAAGCATGTGTCGGGTTCATAAACCCGGGGTCCCTCGGGGACCAGCTTCCATGCCAAGGCTCGACCCGAGAGTCTAAAAACAACAGGGTAAAGGGACGGTCCAGCAATCGACCGGAAGGCCTGGCCCAAGAAGAGCAACGCCCGCTCGTCAGCTACTTCGGCCCACCTATCCGACCGGAGCGCTCGATTCGGGCTCCAGCCGCCTCCGGACAGTCTCTCCGATCGGAAGGCCTGCCTCGAGCCCTACTTTCGACTCCAACCGGGGTACGTAAGATCCCTGCTCGTCGCTCTTCTCCGACCGGCGCAACCAAAGCCGACTGGGGCCATCCGACCAGGGACGCCCGCTCGGAAGGGACCAGGGACGAGCGGAGAAAGCAGCACGTGAGTCAAACCACGGTACAGGGACCATACCCTGTACACCTGCGGGAACAGTGTTCCACAACCACCCTGACACAAACAGTATTGTAGGCGCCGACATTTATCCCTACAATATTGTAGGCGCCGTTGGACTCCCGTACGGCAAAAAGCCCCTCACATGTCTCTGGACATCAATAGTGTTGTAGGCGCCGGGATTCACCGTACCCGGTAAACATGGTGAGACTCCTCACATGCCTCTAGGCATCCAGCAGTATTTTGCAGGTACCGACGTCAACCCTTCCTAAAGAAGACAACGCAACCTCCCACGTGCACCAAACATTCTACAGTGACATCAACAATGTTGTGGGTGCCTACCATTATCCAATCCTCATCGGTGTGGGCAACAAGGCTTAAAAGCATCCGTACCCTCTCCCTCTCACCTGTAAAGCCATCCCCTTCATCTATAAAAGGGGATGCACTCCCTCTAACAGGAGGAACGATTTCATTCAAGCTCAGTTCCTTTAGATTCATTAGTCCAATAGCTCACAACCACAGAACCGTCAGGTTCAGACCTCAAGCACACGCTTTAACACTTAGCTCATAGCGGAGTTCTCGTCGCTCTCGGCCCTTCCGACCGGAGCCGACCAGGCCTCTTGTACCCCCCATGTTTCTCCTTCTCGTTTGTAACCCCACTGCAGACTTTAAGTACCTGGGCTCAGAAACAAAGTCACCGATCGACCCAAACTGGACGTAGGTGAAAGGTCCTAATGGCTAGAGGGGGTGAATAGTCTAATAAAATTTCTACAACAACACTTAACAAAAGGATTAGACAATTATGAGGCGATGCGAGTTTTGCGCTAGCCTACTGAAAATGCAAGCCACCTACCACAATTCTAGTTTAGGTAGAATCTATTCACACAATAGCTATGACACTACTCTATGTTAGTGTGCTCTCAAAGGCTAACTAAAGAGCCACACCAAGCAAGCAAGCAAGCTCTCACAACTAACTACACTAAAGAGCTTGACAACTAGTTTGCGATAATGTAAAGAGAGTGATCAAGAAAGTTATACCGCCGTGTAGATGAAGGAACCAATCAATCACAAGGATGAATAACAATGAAGACCAATCACCTCGGAATCAATGATGAACACAATGATTTTTTACCGAGATTCACTTGCTTACTGGCAAGCTAGTCCTCGTTGTGGAGATACACTCACTTAGAGGTTCACGCGCTAATTGGCTTCACACGCCAAACCCACAATAGGGTGTCGTACAACCATTGCCGGCAAGCTAGTCCTCGTCGTGGCGATACACTCACTTGGAGGTTTACGCGCTAATTGGCTTCACACGCCAAACCCACAATAGGGTGCCGCACAACCAACACAAGATGAGGATCACACAAGCCACGAGCAATTCACTAGAGTACCTTTTGGCTCTCCGTCGGGGAAAGGTCAAGAACCCCTCACAATCACCATGATCGGAGCCGGAGACAATCACCCACCTCCGCTCGATGATCCTTGCTGCTCCAAGCCATCTAGGTGGTGGCAACCCCAAGAGTAACAAGCGAAGCCCACAGCGAAACACGAACACCAAGTGCCTCTAGATGTAAACACTCAAGCAATGCACTTGGATTCTCTCCCAATCTCACAAAGATGATGAATCAATTATGGAGATGAGTGGGAGGGCTTTGGCTAAGCTCACAAGGTTGCTATGTCAATGCAAATGGCCAAGAGAGTGAGCTTGAGCCAGACAAGGGGCTTAAATAGAAGCCCCCACGAAATAGAGTCGTTGTACCCCTTCACTGGGCACAACGCGGGGTGACCGGACGCTCCGGTCCGATCGACCGGACGCTAGCCCTCAGCGTCCGATCACGTGATTCACGCCACATGTCCCCTGCTTCAAATACTGTTTGTCAGATTTCAACGGTCATCTGCTGACCGGACGCGTCAGTTAGAAAGTGACCGGACGCTGGACTTCAGCGTCCGGTCGTTTCCAGTAAGGTTCCAAACGTGATTTTTTCTGACCGGACATAGTCAGCGTCCGGTCACACAACGTCTCCTCTGTACGCCCTACATCAACATACGTCAGCATTGACCGGACGCATCCTGCCAGCGTCCGGTCGCTGAGCGACCCATCGTCCGGTCATGAGACCGAAATGCACGCCCTCGACTGCCACTGACCGGACATGCCGGTCCAACCGAGACCAGCGTCCGGTCACTTACAGAGACCTCTGTCTTTTCTATCTAGGGCGCTGGTGGCACCGTCGGACTATCCGCACTCTACGAACGAACACTCCGCCGGTGGAGTTTCTTACCCTTGCACCTAAACTTCACCACCCTTGATCAAATGTGCCAACCACCAAGTGTATCACCTTGTGCACATGTGTTAGCGTATTTTCACAAACATTTTCAAGGGTGTTAGCACTCCACTAGATCCTAAATGCATATGCAATGAGTTAGAGCATCTAGTGGCACTTTGATAACCGCATTCCGATACGAGTTTCACCCCTCTTAATAGTACGGCTATCAAACCTAAATGTGATCACACTCTCTAAGTGTCTTGATCACCAAAACAAAATGGCTCCTATAATTTATACCTTTGCCTTGAGCCTTTTGTTTTTCTCTTTCTTCTTTCCAAGTCCGAGCACTTGATCATCACCATCATCATGTTATGATCTTCATTTGCTTCACCACTTGGAGTGTGCTACCTATATCATGATCACTTGATAAACTAGGTTAGCACTTAGGGTTTCATCAATTCACCAAAACCAAACTAGAGATTTCAATCTCCCCCTTTTTGGTAATTGATGACAACCCTTATACAAAGATATGAATTAAAATTCAATTGAATCCATGTTGCTTGTCCAAGCATTTTTACCATTTGTAAAAGGATATGGACAAGTTTCATGAACCCTAAATGGTAGCAATTGCTCCCCCTACATATGTGCTAAGAGTTTGATTGAAGCTTGCACATATTCTTAGATAGGAAATATAGGAGACAATGTCTACCAGATGATGCTAAGGTATAAAAGATGGACCTTTGAAGCGTGATACCAATCGGAGTGCACCAATATACCATCCTTAGCATCATGTTTAGCTTGATACCACTTGGAAACAACACTTGGAAATGAAATCATTAGATACCCTATACATGCTAGTTTTTTATTTCATCATTCAAACCTACAACTAGCATACACCACACAAGCATGGATATTTAAATTTTACAACTTGTGCCATGCAAGCAAACATATGAAATGCACATTCAATTGCACCATACAAGTTCATGAGCTTGCTCCCCGTACTTGTGTGCTCAAAATATTAATTGATTACTTTCCTTTATCATATCTCTCCCCCTTCGTTGTCTTTTCACAATCTTAGTACACTAATATTAATATTTTGTTTCTCTCCCATGTACTAATTTCTTTGTTATTTCTCCCCCTATCACTTATATCTTTGTTTCTCTCTCCCTTTGTCATCAATGACCATAAAGGTTTAAAAGGTGGATAGGTTGAGATTATCAATATCAATCAATGGGGTGATGATTATCTTCCCAAATTTGGTTCAAACTAGAATATTTGCCAAAGATATTTAACTCGGTTTGATCCAAGGACAAGCTTCTTCACCTAATAAGGGTTATCTTGTACCATGTTGAGTTAAACACTTAGAGCTCATTTTCTAGATTAAACACTAGGTTTACAAGCCTACAAACAGGTCATATGCTATCACTAGATCAAGTCAAGCATAGAAGCAATAGTGATACCATATAAACATCAAATTCATTTGATTTTCATGAATGAGCCTAATAAAATGGAGGAATGTCTAGATGCACTAATCATGTCCTTAGCAAGGATGTATGCCATGCCAATCATCTTTTACCTTAGATTGCTCGAAGGAGAGGTATGCCATATAAGTGGGGGGGTGCATCAACACATATTTGAGAAATCCAATATGTTCAACTCATTCCTTAGCTTGCAAAACCTTTTCTCATCCAATGGCTTGGTGAATATATCGGCAAGTTGATCTTCGGTGCCTATACTCTCAATGCAAATGTCCCCTTTTTGTTGGTGATCTCTTATGAAATGATGGCGGACATCAATGTGCTTTGTTCTTGTATGTTGCACCGGATTGTTGGTTAGCATGATTGCACTCTCATTGTCACATAGCAATGGCACTTTCTTGAATTTGATTCCAAAGTCACTCAAAGTGGCCTTCATCCAAAGTACTTGT